CTTTCTTTAATAGTCTTTTTCTCCCTCTTCTTATCCATTTCTGTGATGTCTTTCTGTCTTTGTCTCCGGATTTTCTCACAACTTGCAGATGTTTAAGAAAAATGTAGTGCACCAAGTGCCAGTCAATACGAAGGGTTTTGGTGCTTTTCACTATCAAGGGAGGACTCCACAGCATATAATTCCCCTTTGACTGAAGCAGGAGATCAAATGAAATATGCTGCTACTGGCACTAGACAACCCCTGAAGCAAACCTGCTCTCCTGCATTTTACTGTCTTTCAGGCCATATATTCATTAAATCTTGTTTGAAGAATTACATGCAGCTGTTCAAGGACTACAGAAATCTGAGGCCAGTTTTCCTTTAATTTTGGCTCAACTTCTGTAGACCACCACTGTACCCCAAAAATATTGATAGAAAAAAAATGAAATCACTCATATAAGAATCAAGTTGCTGCATGAGGAAAAACAATAAATGAGTGAGCTAGCTATTGGTAAAGATGGAGGACTCGGAGCGGCGATGCTATCTCCAGCTTTGAGGCGCCTCCACAGGCTGCAACCTAGCTGTTCTGGTTTTGCATTCCTGACATTTTTTAGTGGCCTGAGTAAATGAAARACTTGCAGATCCATCTGCAATAATGAAGCAAACTCAGCATTAAATAACCCYACTTTGAGCTGCACTGAGTCAGTCTCCGGGTATATCGGACAACATGACTTCTGCCATTCTGCTCCTGTCAATCTCTCTCGGTCTTCTGTCACTAATCCTGCATGTCTATTTATCTATTTTTTATGCACTTCATCTTGAATATATTCCTGAAATGGTGGTTTTTAATGGACCTCAGTGTCCCGGCGATAAGTATAGCTTCAAATTTTTGTAAAAATTATACTGATTTGAAATGCAGAATCTGTGCCTATGACTATTCTTACCATGGAAATGGTTTAAGAGAGGGAGCACTGRCTTGGGTGTCAGGCAGATTTTAATGTGTGCAGAGCATGCAGGGCTACCACGGCTTCTTATTACAGACTAGGGAGAAGCATGAATGGGAGCTGATTTTATTATTTTTTTCATTCAAGACAAATCAAGAATATGAATTGCTGAACTGTCATCAAATTCAATAACTGCAGCACTCAATTAAGCCTCCAGTTTTAGTTTCATGATAATGATGTTGCCTGCAATGTCTCCCTCTGAGAGGCAGGTGATGCTGGGCTTGAAATGCAGTTTTGGTTATTGTGCACAGCTGCTTGGGATGGTTATCCCATCCCTCTAAGCTGGCACCTGGCATGGAGATCAGCCCAAAGGCAAACCAGAGGCTGGGGCTCTGAGTACCTTGTCCTGCAGAGGAGGGCAGGAAGGGCTGATGCCTGCACAACTGCATAATTTAAGGTAAAACAGAGTGGTATCCRTGGTTGATAGCGGGCTCTGTTTTTCTGAGTTCAGGGGAGCTGGTGCAGGCAGCCGAACATGCTGCTTGCTGCAGCCTGGGGGAGATGTTGTGTGACATTCCTGAGCCGGGCTGTCCTGAAAATTGGGGGATTGCCAAGATCTGGGGGTCCTGTAGCTGTAGGCCCAGGGGACTTGGGAGTCTTGGGAGTTGGAGGGTGATGGAGACTCAGGGGACCTGGGATTCGGGGGGGACCAGGAGTCAGGGGATCCCGGGAGGTCAGGGGTTCTCAGGGGCCTCAGTGGCTCCAGGCACTCTGGGTTCCTGGGGCTGGGAGGAGACGCTGTTCGGAGCGGCCCTGCTCCCTTCCCGCCCGCCTCGCTGTCCCCCGCCGCCCCGTCCCGGCTCCCAGGGCCGCGGCTCGTCCATGCGGCTCCRTGTGTGCAGCGCAGGGCAGGGCCGGGGCACAGCAGGCAGGTCTGCAGGACACAGCGCCATGAACAAGTCGTTCGGCTTTCTGCTTTCTGGGTATTTTGTGCTCGCGCCTGATGGGCGGTGGGGTCACACGCGAATCCGACCGGAGTGAGGGGTTGTTCCTGGCACCGGGCACTGCTTCCCGGACAGTCCCTTACAAGTTGCAGGCAAGATCCTGTCCTAGAATGGCTTGGAATCTTACGAAGTTTATCTAAAGCACTAAAAACTTTAAAAACTAAATAAAATAAATGAAAAAATTAGAGACYGCTAACTCTCAGCTGTGTAAAAGGATAATTCCTAGGCTGCATTTCAAAGCACGCAGGTGCTCTCTGGAGTGAGCGCAGCAGGGAGCTGGGAGCGTGCTGCAGCCGGTGCAGCCCCAGGGCAGCAGCGCTCGGCACCTCCCTCGGTCCGGAAAACTTCCACAAAAAACAATGCCTTATTTAAACACATTTAATGTTAGTGAGCTGGATGCACAGTACAGGCCTTCTGACTTCAGAGATTGATTGCACTGCAGTCATTTTGACTTATAGCAGCTGACTTTTATTTATAGAGAAATATTCTCCAGCAAGTTTGCAGTGAAGCACCGCAGCAGCCTTTTAAATAGAGCACTGGCTCTGCCCGCCTTGTTGCACACCCGCCGCCGCAGAGGGTGCACACGCGGGATGGGAGGTGACAGCAGTTGCCATAATAGATTTCCCCAAAGAAAGCAAAATTTTCTGAAGCTTCAGAAATAACCTCAGGCTTATGCCATTTTTGAAAAATACATCCAACATGGTGATGACATCTAAGTCCTCRTAGCTTTTTTGAATGTTTAAGAGCTTTGTTTTCCAGAAGAAAATCCTCTCTGAGCATTATTTGTGCTGGACTGAACTTCGAACAAAATTGCTGTTAGGAATGACAGCAGACTTCATAGGAGATGTAGCACAGCCCTGACAAGGAACGGATAATCCCTCATCCTTAAACATACGTTCTATTTCCGTTGGCAGTATGCAGACTTCTAGGGATTGCACCAGGTACCCTGGACACAACACTTCAAAAGCACCACTGAAGAAACGTTTGTGCAAATCTCCTGCTTCAAAACTTCTTAAATAAGTAATATGAGTGGGCAAATATGTTGCAGCCTGTTGAAGCTTAAAGCAGAAAAATGTTCAAAAGTAAAAGGAAGATGGAAAGTATTTTTAACTGTCACACAGACCTGGAAATGGTATCAACTGAGGGAATATAGTGATTATTCTTGTGGGTTAATTTTCCTTTGTTAATTTATCTGTCAAGTTAAAGTTTCAATGTACCAAACCAAAACTCTTTCTAATGTTTCTGCAAAAGTGATTGGCAATTAGTCATGAATGAGTAATCAACACTGACAGAAAAAAAAAGTTTAAATTTGGGTGTAAGTATGAATAACAGGGTCTCTTTTATGAGTGCAAGCAGGCTGTCCTGCTGTTCTGCTGTATGACAGTATTTCTGCCCAGAGCCTAGGACTGTGCCCTGTAAAACCTCCATTTATGGGACAACTGAAGCTTGGGTTTGCAGCGCTGCTCAAGAAGGGCTTGCAAAAGGAGGCCCCAAGTTCAGCCCTTGACTGTAACACGATGAGCCACAAATAGTCAGATTTTCCATCTGTTAAATRATGGCATGCCATGCACTGCAGCCCTTGGCTAGCTAAATATACTGCACATTGGGAACGACCTGATGGGATCACCATCCGTATTTGACCCTGTCTATATTAAAATGACCGTGACCTCTTTTTCTCGCACAGCTGCACTGTGAACTCAATTCACTGTTGCAGGGTGCTAATAAATTGACTTACGATGGGCATTTTCTTCAAGGTGCAGAGACTTCTAATGTTCATTCTTTCCTACCCAGCAGCCTGTTGCTACGCGAGTCCTCTGCATCCTGGTGRTTGGAGCGGCTGCGGCTGGGCAGGTTCCTCCTCTCCGCTGAACAGCCCCAAGTGCCTGGTGATGGGGATCGCCAAGGGTCACACAGGTCTGCACGGAGCCCATTTTATTTACACATTCCTTAGATTTGCCCTCAAGCCCTTCTAGTTCTAGTGCCATTAACCAAATATGCTAAAAAGCAGCATCTGTACAAACAGCGAGGGAGGTGTCAGGTTTCTTTTCTTCCTAGTTGTTCAAAAAAAAAAAAAAAAAAAGCAGTTAATGGTATTAGTAGAATCAGATGTTTCATATGGTTGGGGAAGGAGAGGCTCTGTTATATCCTYGCAATTCTGCAACTGCATCATACACTCTGAATAAATTACCCTGAAATGAAAGTAGAACTGGATGGAATTCAGAGTATGTATCTGAGGAGAGATTGCTGTAGTTTTCCTTTTTACATCCCAGACAAGGATGAAAAAAAATGAAATTTAATATTTTTGCATGGGAATAAAAAATCCAAACAAGGCATGAATATCTTTTTTATTTAAATAAAACATTTAAACGGTCCTAGAACCAGACCGCTTGTTGAGTTGACTTCAAAGTCAGTTTCCATGTGGAGCCTCTTCCCTATTAAGTTGCATTTTTCAGCTAATACTTCAGGAACCTAAATCTCTCCTAGTGTCAGGATCCCTAGAGAGAGGTCAGCAATTCCCATGGCACAGAGAGCACACTGACTGTGCAGACATCTGCGCCGCATTAGCAGAAACGTARTCTGCACGGAGCCTGGCCTGTAGCAAGGAGCGGAAGGGCAAGCGGCTGCTGCCATGCGGTACTTGCGGAGGGAGACGGAGCGCGACATTTGTTTGAACTGACACATAACAGAGATTTGCAGAATAAAAAAGAAGAAATGAAGTGAGTTGCTCCCATTTTCTGAGGAAAAAGACAGTCATTTTCAGAAAAAAAAGTTTATTACATCATTTTGTAGAAGCTAGCTTTTAATCAGAAAATCTTTTCAATAGGATACTTAGATACAGCATTTTGCAAAATTAAATAAAAAGCTTGCTTGTTTTATTTAACCCGGATCTAGGTATCTTTACACATCAGTGTCACTATGTGGCACTGTGTGAAATTATCCCATGCTGGCTCCAGTCACAGAGCGTGTCCATCACTTAAAATCCAAGTGAGCCGACTGGAGACGTTGAACAGCTTAGGAGCATTTCATATAATCTCTCTTTTCAGCTGGCAGTCTGTCCCGATGTCTGCAGAGGTCTTGCAAGCTGATGAGACCCATTTATTCATCTTTCCGACTGCAGTGCTGTGAGCRAGCAGCTCCCCAACCCCTTGGGACTGGCACCACATTGGCCTTTCAGGAGCGCTCAGAGGTGCCGGCAGGTCAGTAGCGCGACTGCCGCGTTGAGCCGTTGAACTCAACCTTCACTATCTCATGAACCGTGTAGGAGGGCAGCAAGGGGACTTTTTCATTCTGAGAAATATTATTTTGATAAATAGCTATTACAGGAAATAATGGTTTATATATATATATATTTCTGTTTTGTATTCTACATGAGAAATGTGGGTCTTGGAATTATGTGTGATTATTGCATTGGGAAAAGTAGCATCCTTAAGGACCCCAGAGGTTCTCTAGCAAAATCTAGACAGGCTTAACTTTTCTTAAATGCTTAAAAGACTAGGAAAATAAAACAAGCTTACTTTTGCTTCCCAGCATTTCAGGCCTTTGCTCTGCTTTATAAAGAAGCAACATGCGGGACAAGGCCAATTTCTGGAAGATGTATCTGTGAAAGGCTTGTGATGTATTTGTGAACATAGAGATGTTTCTGGGGGAATTTTACGTTAAACCTTGGATCTAGGTTTCYTAATAGATTCATTCTTTCATAAACCACTTCTTAAACTGTGGTTTTCTTTGCAACTTTGCAGTTACACTGCGAGCTCAAGTGTTTGCAATAATAATCTCAGTACGTTCAGCATGGTGTGGAGAGCACTTGCTTTAGGGTGTCACCTTATACTTTGTGAGGGTTCTTAAACATTTCTGAACTTTCAAGCTARATTCATGTAATTGATTATTTACTGTTGAACTCAGCATGGAATACAGAACAAAGCCTAAAACTAGGGATGCTCTTGGCTTAAGCAGTAAACACTGACAGCTTTTTTAATATAGCCTGTATTTTAGTTGTGGATGCCTAAAATTCTTCTTATGTTTCTGTTTTCAGCTATTTCTCTCTCTGCTGTGGTTAGCCCTAGATTGTACATTGGAATGAGCAACATGCAGCGATCTAAGACTTTTGATAAGCTTCCCCAGACCGGTTTAATGCACATTTTGTAGAAAAGTGTATGTATTTCTAACAGTGCCATGGAGTGTTTCCCTTTTGCCCTTCTACAGGGAGCCAGGGAGCCGCCCAGCCCTGCCCTGTGTTGGGAAGCAGCCCCGGCGCAGGCACGAGCGCCGCGTGCAGCTCCGCGGGCGCTGGGCTCTGCCCGTGCATGCAAGGGGCCCCAGGAGGTGCTTCAACACAGGGCCGCTGAGATGCGGGGTCACAGTACGAGGCTACAGGTCATAGCCTTGGATCCACATGGTGACAGTTTGCACAGTTTCTAAGGCACACTTTTTAATTTCTCATGTACTTTGAAGTATTATCAATACGTTAAGATATTCAGGACTTGGAGAAATCTACAAAATGCCTTTTAGAGTGTTTGAAAATTCACCTTTTTCATGGAAAATATATCTAGTGTTTTGCTGATTCCAAAGAGAAATATATTCAAAACTATAAATACAACAACCAATAAATAGAATTATAATTGCATACTGAAAGAAGAAGAAAAGAACACTACTGTAATGATATATGGGCAGAGCTGGTACAAAAAAGAGTCTTTATTAGGGACAAAATGAGACAAATGTCAAACTTTGTACTAGTGTTTCTTCAAGAGTAGCACTTAAGTAGCTCTTTGCTTACAGAAAGGAGCCACAGAAGGTTTGTATCAAGGTAACCTTAGCCTAAGTTATTTGTATGAGGAGCAGATAAACATCTCTTTTTGGAATTTTGCAGATAGGCTTATCAGATATGATAAATGTGGCCCAGAAGTAGTGGCAGCCTTCACAAGATGCTCTTTGTCCCTGGGCCATTTACTGGAGAACACAGTGTCCCGAGGGGGCACTGAGACTATAGTTGCCTGCATTGAGTGCAAAGAAGGAGATATGTTCAAATTACTGTGCTCACAGGGTGCATGGGTCAGGGCAAGGTGGCTTGTGACCGGCACTTTCCAGCGAGCACCGAACATCTCTGAACTGAAAGCCAAAGGCTGCCAGTTTGCACATGCAGGCGGATGATGGGAAGGAGTTTTCACCCTGGACTCCCCTCGCCCACCTGCTAATTACAGGATTTTCCTTGGTGTAGGTTGTAGGTGTGCTCTTTGATCGTACCTTAGTGACACGCATGGGCCTGCTAGCCCTGCTGGACTGCCGCAGGTCGGGAGGAGCAGGCCAGGCTGGCTGGTATCTTGGACCCTGTCGGAGCCCCCGACGGCTCTGGTCCCTCTCGTGATCTAGGAATTGGTGACGTTTGCGGGAAGGGGCAGGTGACGTGCTGCGTTTCACAGCGCCCGCCTGCGCTGGCCGAGCGGCGGTGGCTGCTGCATGGAGGGGCTCGGGGCAGCCCTGCAGCTGCAGGGGCTTTGCAGCTAACAATGCAACGTCTGCATTGTTTCCGCATGGCGCCTTCTCACATCCACAGCAGAGACTGTTTCCAATAGTCATGCAAAGGAGTAAGTGAATATTGCAGTGCAACAAGTCAAGATCTGCAAAGAGAGATCATTTTTTCAGGCTACTGTTTGGCTACTGATCATGGGAGAAGCTGCTGCATGAAGCACAGATGTGACGATGCAGTTGACAGGCACRGAGAGTCTCTGACACCAAGTCTTGCACCCCGGGACCTGTGGGATGGTACTTGTCCTGCAGCCAGAACAGGTGCTTGTCCTGCTTTTACTTCTCCAAACTGATGGAAAATTGTAAACTGCTGCCCAGCAATCAGCTCTGCTCCTGTCAGTTTGTCAAGAAGGCAGCACTGGATTTCAGAAAAGAAAGAATGGCCCTTGGAGGTGACACAGTCACCTTGGAACTGCCTTTGAAAAGGTCAGAGGGTGCCCCTGGCTATGGAAAACTTGATGTGTTTGCGTTTTTCCTACTACCTCAGCACTAAGGTACAAGGAAATGTGAAGTGTGGCAGGAGAGAAGCCATGGAGAAAGTGAGTTATATTCAAGTTACACAGTAATAAAGCTATGAAAGGAAAGAAATCAAGAAATGGAGAAGTTTAGTAGCGATCTGCTCTTAGTAGACATGAATTTTCTGATTAAGCCATTGATTTGGCATCCAAGAAAGCTTTCCACTCATCTCACTTCAGGTAGTATAGGTAAGCTCTATGTTTCAGCTCCCTTTTATTCTACTTTCTGGATTCTCCTTTTCCTTTTCATAAAAGGGCTTGTTTTCCGCTGTAGTGGCTGGTTTTCTCCAAGAGTACAGAGAGGGGATGATTAGGGAGTGATTATTCCATGATACTGTGCTGGCCATTTTAGCAAATTCTTTTCTAAAAAGAGGTGTGAGATTGTTTAGCCAGTTGAAGCAATCCAATTGACAGGAGAATAACTTAACTCAATAAGCAGAATTTTACAAACACTGTAGTTCTTTGTTTAACAGCCAAAGTCTATGCAATTAGCTCCAGTTCTGAAACAATCTCTCTCCCCACCTTGCCTGTATTATCCTCCCACCGTTTTGCATGTCACTGCCTCCTATTACTGCATTATTTTGCCTTGGTGTTCAGTTCACACCGCATCTGCTCTAGAGCCTCCTGCTGCCATCTTTTCATCTGGAGTCATCTTAATCCACCTTCTGGAATTAAATATAGGGCAGGAAAGGTTGTAGGTGCCCCAGTGTCCCAGGTACCCACTCTCTTGTGCCCGGTGCAATAATTCACTTCTCTCTGAAGGAAGTGCCAGGTGTCTGTAAAATAATCCTGAGCTGGAATGTGAGGATTGTGCGCTCGGATGACACAGGGATCTGTCTCGCTCTATCTATAGATGCAGCCGGAGCGGGGGTCCAGCGCGGTGCCAGGCTCTTTGATGGCAGAGCTGGAGTGAAGCAGCTTTGCAGGACTTGGGTGGTGGCTCCATTCTAAGTGAACCTGAGTTTGTTTGGCATCTTGTAGAGAGGGAGATTAGTCAGGCCCAATGAACTGAAAGATCAGAGCAGTGGGACCTTGTTCAGATTGGCTTCACAGAACAAACCAAGACTTCTAAAGGTATCATTAAAGTGCTAATAAATGGCATTATTCTTATTTTAGAAATAACAATGAGAAATACATTAGTCTCACATATGTAGGGGCAAATCTTGCTGCCCTTATTAACCGTGACCGATAACTCATTCCGAGGGCAGTCTTCCCGACTGGGTACAGTGCTAGTGAGCATGAGGAAAGGCAGGGAGCCTCCGTAGGGAGACGTGTGGCACCCAGCACCCGTGTCTCAGTGTGGTCACAGTACAACTGCGACCRGCGTCTCTTATCCGCAATTCCTTCGCTTGCTTTTGCAAATTTTCTTTCTTAGTGTTAACTCAGTACAACTGCTGTTGAAATTAAAGGTGAAACTGCGTTATAAACGCAGTCTCTTTTCTTTTACACTGTAATTCGGTTTATCATTTGCTTTCCATTTCAGTTCTGCTCTTTTCTACTTGGAGTATTTTTAATAGCTTGTATGGTAAGAAAACCCACACATGAAGAAAGGAAAGAGGAAGTAAATGGAAGGCAAACTGCAAACACATCAATTTAATTCTTCTGGGGAAAGGCTGGCCCGCCTTCTTCAGGAGTCCAGGCCTGCTGCAGAATGCAAAATAGCAAGCGGAGCACTAAATCAAAGGTTAACATGGGGAATCTGGTGGCCTAAATATAGACAATTCTGCCCCTCTCCAGTGACTTACAGTAATAAAGACTATTCTACAGCCAGCACAATTTGGCCAATGCCCAAAATATAACAAAGAGATCTGACAGTGGGGATTACGGCTAGAAAATGTGGCTTTCTATTTGGCACAGCTGTCATATTGTCCTAAGCCAGTTACTTCCCTTTAATCCTAATTAATACCCGTCTTCTCCGGGACACGGAGCCGCTCTCCGATGCGCGGCGCTCCCGGGGGCCTGGCGCTCTCCCGCACCAGCGCTGCCTCCTGGCACCTGGTCGCGGAGGATCTTGTGCATGGCAGCGAGCGGCGTGGCAGCCACCCCAGCAGAGCACRTCCACTAAACACTCATCAGAGGCCCCGTACGCAGACATGGGGCTCGCGTCGGCAAGACGGTGCCGGCCCAGGGCTCCGCGCCGTGTCCKGCCCCTAGGGAAG